AGCACGCCTACGTGCATCAGCATTATGAGCCAAACAGCATGCCACTGGTCTACGTCCGGGCACCGCGAGTCTTCTTATACGACCGAGTGTGTGTACTTCGTCCTTGTGAATCCCACAACGTGTTGCTTTATATTTCCACCTCGCACCTGCTTTGGTACTTGTGCGTGGATATACATATTATACGCCAACGATCAATCCGTTTCATCTAGGGTAACGTGAGTTTGGCTTTACTGATTGCACTTGCACGTTTTTTGCTTTTATTATTTTCCTATTTTCGTTTGTTTCGTTTGGTATTTGTAGCCGATTTGTTTGGTGTGTGTGTTAGTGTGCTGGAGTATGTTGTCATTTCCGATTAAAATTTTGATCTCGAAAATGACCACGTGATTTAACGTTTCTTATTCCCTTTCCTTTCTGCATTCTCACGCTCGTCGTTTTATCGTTTATCTGCACCTACTTTCTTCGTCGATCGCTACCTCGCGAAGTGTCCCGTCTTTAAAGTCCTTAACTTTTTTCCCTCGAAACTACAATTTACTCCCAAACATTGCATCGAGGATAAATATTTTGCAAGTTTCATTTCCTTGGATTTTATTCTCGATGGTAAAGTTAATTGGAGTCACTTCGATGTCTCTTCTCTCTGGTATTTTGCCATTCTCTTTTTCCGTGCCTTTCCTTTGTTCCTTAGATTCTTCTTCAACTCCTATTTCTTTATTTTTTCCCCTTCTACACATGAATCAGACAAATTTCAAGTAATTTCTTTTTACTGTCTCTTCTTTATTTATTTACCTTCGTTTTTTTCTTTACACAAAGCTGGTCTCGAATTTCTGCTTGTGGTTACAATTTGAACTCTTTTCGTTTTCTTCACCTAGCAGCGTCTTACCGTCCTTCGCGGCGGTTAATTCCAAATTTTCACTCACAGTCCTGTCACTTGCCTTGGAATTGAAACTGTGGCCATGTGAGTGCATCCATGCAGCCGTGCCACTACCGCCGGTATTGTTTGCGACAGCTAGCAGAGGCTGATACACGTCAAAACCATTCACCACAATCTCTGGACCGAGGGCTGAGGCATCGCGAAGTCTCATGCGGCCATAGTGGTACGTCTGCTCATCGTCTTGCATTACCTGATGGGGCATTAATGCCGGCGTCTTTCGACCAGGTTCGAATTTCACTTGAGGCCACTCGTAAAAGCTGCCATCAGGAGGGGAACCGGAGTAGCAGATGCGCACCTTTTTGTTCACAACAGGTTCTGCGATAAATACAGGGCATTCTTAACTATTTCCATGCTCAGAAATAAACAATGGTTCGTCTGCAGCACTTGCCTAAGAAACAGTGATGTCTTAGACCCTAGAAATGATTAGAATGCATACTTATTGGGATTTGCGGCACGTGTTATTAACAGATCGATTAACGGGGCTGAATCCGCAAAAGTGCGGCGCAGCATCCTGGGTGGGACTCGAACCCACAATCTTCGGCTCCGGAAACCGACGCCTTATCCATTAGGCCACCAGGACACGACGAGCACTCCTGATATGTTATATTTCGTTACCTTCTATTTATGATAATCACTTTCCCTGCACGTGATGCGCTCTGCGCTCATTTGCGTGCTCGCAAATACGCGTGCCATGTAGACACACATGACTTAGTGGTGACTAGCCTATGGGAGAGCTTGATTACATTGTATAGAATCTGCATATTTGCAACAAGCTGGGAAAACTAACCAACAATGTGATCAAAATCATTGTTTTAAATTTTAATTTCTGAAAGCCCTTATTTAATGTTAATCTTTGCATCTATTTAAAATCACCACAAGTTCTTTTACATACTACTGATCTTGATGAAACCAAATCTATCACCAGGTAAACCAGCCACCTGGTTGAGACAGCTGTGTTTAGATTGCACAGAACGATTAAGGGGCCTACCAAATCGCAGAGGAACACTGCACCCACACTTCCCAAAAGATAAAAAATCTCAATTTTTTTACAAAGTGGTATTCAACCAGAGTGTAATTAACGCTTGTCTGCGGCAACCTGGTATCATGGTTTAAACTAAACACGGATATTTACTAAGTGAAAACATCAAAGAAACACCCCTGAATGTAATATATAAGCGGTGACACGACAAGTTTCTGCTCACTGAGTAAGCAGATTAGAAGGTACGTTCACAAACCGAGGCAGATCAGTGCAGGCCGCGAGGCAGATTTATATAAATGAAATATTAAGTTTTACAGTGACTGGCATCAAATTGTTTTTTTCTTCAGCGCATACATTAGTGTCCGGGTGGGCTGGTTTCACACAAAAGTGTTGTTTTGGTACGACATTCAAAGCCAAAATGTTCCGACCATATCTTCATTCCTCTAGGACAGCTGAATTTCTACATCTAAATTAATTAGGATGCCTGTCCATGCTCAACCCACAACTCTGTGTCCCCCAGTCTCATTCGCGATTTCCAGACTCGGTTCAATAAAAGTGTCGGGGTAGTAAATCTCATTCTTCTCACGTGTTTTCTCCACAGTTCGGACCCTCATCGCTGTCCTTCTGCTGCACTCGACGATCTCGGCTACACGCAATCTCCCCATAAACTACGTGTGCTCACGCTCAAATGTTCACGTAAAACAGGCGCACGCAGCTGGAGAACAGCATTCCACCCACCCCTTGCCCACCCCAAGGCTTGCGAAGAACTTTATTGTGAGATTGCGTGCATGCACTCCGTCAAGCCATCACACGACCCAACCCGACTCAAAATAAGGACTGCCAAAGCGATTTGACATCGATTTTTTGAGAATGTCCCGAGGGGACTCAGGAGGTGCTTAATCCTATGGTGATCACCGAGCGGATTTTAGTCGGTCATCTCGAGTCCACTTCAAATCGCATTGTTCGTTCAGAGAGGGAATGTCAGGCTTTCAACAATCCATTTAATGCAACCAAACCACATTTTGTTGCATTGGATGATGTTTCATGTTCACCTGGTAAGCCTGATTTCTAGTAGGATAAACACGAACAGGTAGACAATTTCTTGGTTCACAAGCAAACGGTGGCTGGTTTTAGAAACTTGTTTTAAACTTTTACCTCCTTCTGAGTAACTGAGGACTGAACAGTTGTCTTTCAAAGTAAATGTCATTTTCACGTTTCTAGGCGGTTCATTACAGGCGTCATAATCCCTTAAAATTGATAATGACCTGAAAAATTTTTAAATTTTCCTTGATCAGGAACCCGACCTGATATTTTGGTCTTTCGTGGTAAAAGGATACGTTTTGTCATTGTGCCTAAATCACGTGGGATTCGGGAGCAGATGCATAATTTTGGTCCTGAGAATAAATGTTTTAGGGAGGACCGGGTTAAATTTGGTAATCATGCGGAGTCAGTTGCATGTGAGGCTACGATTTTTGACATTCTATTCAATGAACCCCGAAGACGGAAAGCAACAGTGATTATGCTTGGCTACAGCCACTCAGTTAGATTAACTAAAGTAATACTTTATACGGCAACGTTGATAACTGGTCGATTTGAACGGGTTCGAGTCCAACATAGGGGCAATCGATTTACTGCGAATGAGAAAGCCGAAAACAACGGATATTTGACCGTTTACAAAAAATCTCAACCAGATTGTGTCTGCCGCTCGTTTATCTTCGAAGTACACAAAAATTGCAGTGTCTCTTAGTGGTCTTAATCAGTTGAAATCCGATGACAGATGTTTTAAGACATGCCTAACCAGAGTTACCAGTTGTTAATCAACGTAATTCAGTACATGTTGCAAGTTGCCTAGCGTTCTTTCATACCATCTCTTCTAGGGGATACAGTGTCGCCCCTGTGGTCCTTCAATGACACAAGGCGATCTAATTTTTTGGCTAAATGTCTGTTTAGTTTGCTCGGCAAAGAGCTACCTTCGCACTAGCACTGTGCCAGCCTTAAACTATTCATTGTTTTGAACGATGCAACTTATCAGGATCCCTTACACTTCATTGGTGTCCAACATTTATCGAAAAGTTAAAACAGTTTTGCGCACATTTGGTAGATAAATTTCACCTTCTAGAGACCGCATAATCAGTCCTATTTCCCTTCTATTTTAAAAAAAGGTGAAGCATTATTGTCGTGGGGTTACCTATTCTGTCCGCGACTATGAAGGACATGCTTTCAAGGGCCAACGAAACCCTGCTTCCCAGTCGTCCACCAAACGCCTGATGAGCAGAATCTGGCACATTCCTGTACCCGCTGTGATGCCTTTTTGGGTGTGTCAAACAATAAACATCACTGCGAAGCAGTGTTTACCGCCTGCAGTTATCGGCTTGCTAAGAGCCCGCGAGGCGCAACAACGGGTCTTTCTAGTCCTCCTTGGTGTCTGCTTTTGACTCAATCTCTTAATTAACATTGAAAACAAAACAACTCATCCACCCATACACTCACACACACCCGATTCCGTGATTTATTGCAACTCGTGACCTTCGTGCGCTGTCCTGTGTGAATTTTCACTTGGGTTTAACTTGTAAACAATAAACTTGCGCCCGCGGGGTGAATAAATAGACAGGTCTTTTTCATCCATGCTGGCACGCTGACCACTCACTAAGCTGGGTTAAATGAGGAGAGAATATGGCCTATAGCTGGTTCTTACACCAAGATAAATTAGCCAAAACACCAGACACTGAAAGTGAACAGAGGGTGCTTCCAGGACTGTGTAGACAAAGTCATACATACAACTCCTTTAACCCGGATTTAGAGGAGAACTATTAGAACAACTTTTCATTGTGTGCATGACCTTTCTGGTTGTTATTTATTAGCTATGAGTTATTTTGTATTTAGGAAGCTATACTTTTGTAATCCTGGGGTCAGAGTTAATTTTGACTTACCGGGATAGGTGGCAAGACGGAGAGTTTTCGCGTCACCCGGGGGCAGGTTGCTTGCGTCAATTGACAAACAGGCCTGCCCAGGGTTTCCCGGAGCACAAACGGCCGCCGCGGAGTAGAGACTCCCCGGCGTTGGTCGTTCTTCCTCGCCAGCATTCGATGCTGTCGGTTTCGCTCTCCGCTTGAAGGCCATCATAACGAAGGTGAATATGAGGCCGAGGAGGATCGTGGTTGCGATGGCCAGACAGATAGTCGCTGCCCAGAATGCCGCGGGAGAAGAGAATATGGCAAAACGGTCGGTGGAATGGGGTCCAGATGTGTCGAGATTGGCGTTTTCACCGCCTACCTCGTGCGTCCACTGTTGACGGCTATCGTGTGTCGAGATAATGGCTTCGAATCGGGAGGCTGGTCCTATCTCAGCAGAGGAAGAGGACAACAACCCCGTTGGCCCACGACCAGCTTCGTGAGAAGATACGGGGCGTGACTAAGTGTTAGAAGAGAGAGAACATTAATGAAAACTCCTTAGGCTTTACCATGGGTGCCAACGTATGCTTGCGAAATTTGTCTTACATCTAAGATATTAAACGAGATGTATGATCGTTGAAAATTCTTGTTCAACTCAAAGTGAGTCAAAAGTAGTGGACGTGAGCAAGGTAATTTTGGACCGAAATTATCGTTGCATTCCCTGTAACTGATAATTGTTCCTCGATAATTTCAGCTGATACCATGCTCGTGATTGCATGCCTCCTGTGTTCACTCGTCACCGATATTTGATTTTCAGGATACTATCTATCTAATTAGTGTTGCAAAACCGTAGCCCGATAGACATCAGTGGGCAGATCACACAGAGGTAACTACACAGCTCACAAAATGTGAAAACGTGTGGGTACACAGAACAGAGAAGTGTTCGTATCCTAGATACTGGTTATGATTTGTTATTTGATATCCCAGCCCCCAGTTGCTAGATATGATGAGGAATGACACCGAGGGGGGTAGGGATGTCGAAAGGTGGCAAAATAAATCCACCCGCACATTGGCCAGGAAGATGAGGCGCTTAGAAACCGTAATCAACTCACCGGAGAGCACCTTTGTCACTAATACTTGCTGATACTCAAAATTAACTCTCAATTCCAAAGCTGGACTATTTCTTGATCAAATTTCGTCTCCGGCCAGAGCAGCTCCTTGTTTTGTCTTCCTGTGTCAAGAATCTACCACGCACTATCAGCCTTCATGTGCAAAGCAGTTGGTCTCCAATGTAACCTTCCTTTCCTGACAGCCACTAATCAGACCCAATCAGCTCAACTCAAAATTAAATTTAACTGAGAGGGAGGTCTTCTATCTGCCCCCGCCCTACCCCCTAGTCAGCTTAGCACACGTCTCTTGTCTAGGGCGGACTGCTACGGACCTTTTTTACACAACCTCCCCCTCCTCCATCACCCACCCCTTCCCGCTCCGGAATGTACAGACCTAATTTCCGATCCACCAACCGCGTGCTTTTTGCCCACTGCTGAGCAGTCGGCTTCCTGTTTCCGAAGGATTAGCAAATTTGAGCAAAAAAGAAGCTATTTCAGAATAAAAACGTCCAGGCTAATACTTTTAAGGAGGAGGAAGGGAATTTGAGTAGTGCGTTTATTAAAAATATATCCGAACGTGGGTTTCAAATAACCAGAATTACTCAGAACCACGAGTAAAATCCATGCACAATTTTAAGTCTGATTCTCGCTGAGCGTCATTTTCAACCTACTCACTGCACTCAAAGCATTAGAGCCCATACTTGGTAAACAAATACTTCTTTTTATAAAGTTTGATGTTTGGGACCACATGTACACTTTGTTGAACGTTCAAAAGTGTAGTTTATTCCTTGGGAATTCAACGCGGTTGTTCCATAGTGTGACTCAAGGCTTTGTAAACAGTTGTTGCTGACAGTCCAAGGTGAGAAATTTTACTTCCAAGCATTTCAAAAAGGACCATCACGATCTTCTGTGCGTCTAGTTCGGCTGAAATATTGAATTTAGGTAGGAAGGGTTTGAATAGTCCCAATTACAAGAACTCGTTTCCCCAAACCTGATCTAGTGATTAGCACAGTCTCACTCAGTGAAAGGTCAGCCCAAGTTCGCATTAACGATTGATCCTACGAGTACTCTTCCAGTGCATTTAAACAAATGCCGGGACTCGATAATGCCCCGACAAGCCACCTCTTATACAGGGTTCCCCTTTTCGCAGCATGTCACCAGCCTCGCGGATCCTCAACTCCCCCTCATTCTCACGAATATTTATCTCGGATTATCTTCACACCTCGGTCTCGATGTTAGCGCATTTATGACTCACACATCCGAGCTATAAATACACATGCACAAACCCCACACACGACACAACGACACCAACATGGTTGAGCTCTGAAGTAAACGGTTGTGTCCACGTCTTCTCCGGCCTTTTTCTTCATCACGGGTATCAGGGAAGCGTAATTGGGCCAAGGTTAATTCAGTGGCCCCAGTGTGGTTCAAGACCACATGCTGGGGCCCAGCAACAATTGGTGACCCCGACGTGATGAAAGCTTCTTCAAATCCCACAACACCCTCATTGTTTGCGGTACCGTTTGGATACGCTCATGAAAGCAAGCTGAAAGTAATACGTGGCAGCATGTGAGTGAACAACTGATCTGGTACACCGTCTTTGTTGTTCTTTGATGGCGTGGTGCTGACGGCGTGCAGGGACTGTAAACTGACAGCCAATTGGTGCACGCTAGAATCTGATCGACTTCCGCAACCACGTTCAGTGGGGAACGAATAAATTTATGAATGAGCAAGCCTGGTTATCATCTTTAGAAAATTAACGCTATGGAGGTGTAGACCAGGCCAAACCAATGTTTTTCTCATGACTCAATAGGCGTGTTTCGATATCTGACATCTTCATTACTGCTGTTTCTCTCGGAGCGCAGTCGTCTTTCCCGATCTTATCTGCGTAACCTAGCCCATTCTTTCTCCTAGCGCTTTATCAAATTAAAAGAAGTGCTCAAATGGCGATGCGGAGTGGACTTCAAAGTTAACAACCCGACAGTGGACTAATTGAGTTTACTCACGAACAGCAAGATTCTAACCATTTCAATGGTAATTCAAGCCTTGAAGGCAGTACTTTAGGTCGATTCCTACCTGTTTCTTAGTAATATATCCTAAACAACTAGTTTCGGGCCATTCGTTTGTGGCAGGCATTGCCGTTTCATTTTGGTGCTGAGAATTCAAAACCTTAATCACCAAGAGTAACCTCAATGCCTGTGGTTTTGAGAGAATCTCTTCTGATTCAATTCAGGAAAAAGAAATAATTTCGGTATAACGATGTTTCAGTGATTTGAATTCCTGCATTAGGTTAAATTTTAAGCTGATACAATGGAATTATGGCGAGAATTCAAAACAAAAAAGGCCTGTAAATTGGTGAATAGCGGAAAATCGTAAACAAAATAACATGTAGTATATATTCGTAAGCAACTTACATTTCTAGAATCAGTCTGATAAAACTGCCCAGTAATTTTTAAACGCCGAAAGAAATGTGTTTTAATTCTGTTGTCTTAAAAGGTGTTAGGTTGGAAGTGTAGGAAGAAAGTCGCTTACTCGGACAACCTTCTTCATTAAGGCACAGCTTGTTGGGGATTCAGCATTTTCCAAGACAGCTAATCGCTAATTAGGATTTCGTTATTGTCACACACCTCTCCTAACCGCACCACTTAAGTTGATTAGTCATCCACGGCTCCCCACTCCATCTGCGTTGATCCACCTTGATGCATGAGTTCAAAGTCATCGTCAACTTATATAAGCATTCTCATCATAACATCACTCAGCCTTTGTTTGGGACTGCAAAAGCCCTTCGCATGGTGTCTTGTCTGTGTCCTGTACTGGACAGGCGGGGTCCAGTGTCAGACAAGGGATCTGGAGTATCGATTATCTGAGTGTGGGGTTCTGGCTACAAGCAAAACGTAACACAAAGAACGCGCGATGCACTAGACCACCATCAAGTCGTTTTGAGGGTGTTTTTTGCATCAAATTCAGTTAATTGTCACCTTTGACATCCGAGTTCTTCCACAATCAACCAATTTATTCAACTACTCACGTAGCACAAGTCAGCACATAATGCGAATTCGTGGTGTCAGTAGTTTGTCGTTCTTATGTTAATAATTTCGGTTATGTTACAGCATAGTTTGTCATCGCTAGCAGCATCTCACAGTCAAATTCATTTCAACAATAGAACCTATCCAACCACAACAAATGTGTGCTCATACTGCACTCAGTGTCAATTACCTGCATTTCTTCGAAGCGAGATAGCTCAAGCACATATAGGCGGTGCATTTTTATTGGTTCTTTGGCTGTGTCTGTGCGCAGGGTCGTGGAATTTGTATTGTGCTGAGAAGACAGTGATTCACCCTAATATACTCGTGCACTCTGACTCTGAGCGCATGTTTCTCTTCCCAGTAATCGAAAAAAGTTTGGTATCTGTTTTAAACAAGCGAAGTCTTCAGACATCTCAGACCCGTCCACGTCGACTCAGTCGTGTACCAGGAACTCCGTAGGCCTGTCTTTGTTGGAACTTCAAGGCCATTCTACGTGTCCCACCCAGGACTGTGATTTATTACCACTGTATATCTTCTTAGCATTCCTTTGTATTGTTAATCAAATCAAGAACCTCTCCCTCAATAAGAGATGCTTTCATCTGCTTTGAATAAAGTGATTCTATTTCCCTTTAAATGACGGTCCACCACTCAGTAGAATCCATGCCACTTCATTTGGCACAGAGGCCGTCTTAGTTACTTGTTTACCTTCCACGTGGATCTTTCTATTGACTATTTGCTTCTTCGTTTTCTCTTCCGATTTTCGAACTCCTATTTCTTTATTACTTTGTGAAATCCTTGTTCCCCACAGACAACCGCTTTTTAAGGAGGCCAATTTGAAATGGACCAGCTTTTACCATAAGTAAGCCCCACATAGCACCAATTTTTAAATGACTGCTGAGGTATTGAAAAACTAGACTGGACACATAGTCTTACCGATTCCAGAAGCTCCTGGTCAGATGTGGTGAAGCGCACTTGTATAGAAGCTGTAGCAGACAGCTTCGGTTCGCCTTTGTCGGTGGCACTCACAACGAGGCCGTATTTGCCCAGTTCGCGCTTGCCCCTTTTATCGCTCGTCTGACAGCGCGAGAACACTTCATCCACCGCCACAAGGCTTATCTCCCCTGAACGTGGCTCAATCTCAAACCATGGGGCATCAGGCGCCAATTGGGTCTTGTTATCCTCACCTTTCTTGCTGATAACCATCTGCTGGGTTTCGTTGTCAAATTTCACGGAATACTCAAGCTCCGCGTTCGGCCCCTTGTCGGAGTCGTTGGCGACAACTTGCAGAACCACTAATGGAAGGTGCTGGATGTCACTGCAGGTCAACGTGACCTTGCCCTAAAGGGAAATGTCAAACATGCTCAACATTATCTTAGTTCACAGATGATACAAATATATCGAATTTGCTTTTTCAACACTCCCCATTTGCAAGAGATAAACTGCACAGGATTTTTACTGAATTTAACCAGTTCGATTAACCTGGAAGTATTAATATAAGTCCATTCTGTTCTCGTAGTATGTCCATGGCCCTTAGAGTTCCAATGATGGATTAAATGTGTTCAGGCACGGGGAAATTAGTAAATTATGAGGAAACTTGAAGTATAGATATCGTTACAGCCTTGCACTTAATGTTCCACTGAAATTTTACGACTATCTGTGAGATTATTCAACGGCTCCTAAGTTTCAGGCAGTCGTGGATTAACTTCCACGGACAAGCAGAAACCGAAGCCCCGATACACAATGCCGTTATTTGCACAACCTGACGGAACCTACCTGTGAATCATTCAAATCAGTCAATTTCATTTACTGATAGCTTGATAGCAAAACAAGTGTACACTTGTCACCACTTCATTTTGTGGTTGAAAGAACTGCTAGCAATGTTGAGTAGTTGAAACAGCAGAAGATTAAACTGTCCAAGGGAAATATTTATCTAACAGCAAAGTCCATTCGTGTCTAACAGAAACAGATGAAGGACACGAAATTCTTAATCAATTAGGTTCCAATCTGGGCACTGATTCATAGCAAACATGCAACTTATGAGTAAGCTAAATAACTTATGTCGACTTCGTAGAGGTATGTACATAGCTCATGTTACTAGGCGTTAGAGAGTCAAACTTATGATGAAGTTGTAAAAAAGTTTAAGCCGCTTACATTTGTAAGGAGTAATAATAAAAATTGGGACGCATTGTGGAGGGTGCCTCCTTCCAACTCACCACAACATCACTCTTGGGATAGATAAACTTTGGCTGATTATCGTTCTCATCCTGAATGCTAATCTGAACAGTTGTCTGAGCTGTAAGTCGATTGGTTGACGGAGTCCATTGGCGCTGCGGATAGCCAGACACGGGGATACCTCTGCCAGAGTCGCGTTTTCCACCGTCAACCACTTCGACGAGGAGTTCGAAGGCTTCTAGTCGTTCTCTATCCAGTCCTTCGGTTCCAACGGAAATTTTGCCTGTTTCCTCATCCAGCTAGGATGGATGCAAGAAGAATAGGAAGCTTTTATTATCAACTTTTAACGCTGGTTTACTTAACCAATCAAATCGTGCCCTATGACCTAACACAGCATCGAGTTTGGTATGAATTGCAAAACTCATCTCAGTGCTCCACGATTTATCCATGAGTACGACTTTTCTTACTTACGTTCACAAACTCCCCTTGCCATTTCACATAAATTATTTAGTGTGATGGGTAGTAATGATTTTACGTCTTGAATTCGCATAGCAGAACAGGCGAATAAATTAACGCTGTTTCCTTCACCTCGTAAAATGGTACATTATTGTCACGCACGCGTGTTAGTTTTAATGGCACGTCCACTGTTCACTTCCGTAATGTTGGGCATCACATTTGACCAGAAAATTGATCGCAGTTTGAATCTGAAGAATGCAGGATTTCCCTCGACTATCAGTTGTGCCATAAAAAGTACCTATTCACGAGAAGATTTACGTTTGCATGGAAATCAACAACGCTTTGTAGTTGAAAATGAATGTGCCCACTGACTGAAATTACGCATGATTCATTGACTGACCTCAGAGTACACAAATTCTTAAGAAGCACCTTTGGTCAGAATAGTTAGCCCCTAAGGCGAACTAAAAAGCCGTTTTTTTCTACGTTTGGTTGGCGGAATCTGATAAAATTTTGATCAAAGTCCAGCTGAGAGTAAAAAAATCATATCAGTGTGGACGTATTTCAGGCGAAAATCTTTTAGTCCAAACTTAGGGGACATTCGCGTAATAGCATGTCCGAAAAGGCTGAATTAACTTCGTAATTCTCATTACCGTTTTACTGAGGTGTTTTACCAGCTTCCAAGGAATAAATCAGAACTGATCATTTGTTAGTAGTAAAAATACTAACAATGCAGTTGTATTACATCAAATGTCCTAGACCTAGAGTAAGTCTTTAAGATGATTTTAAAAGCTGCAAAAATGCGCCAAGAACACACACACACAAGACCGGGATTTCTTCTACCGCTGTAAAAGGCGGCTGGATATTGCCTTGAGTCATAAATTAGCACAGTTAATGCGATGCACCGTTGGGTATACCTAGGGTTCCTTGGGGGTCGGAATATGACCGCTCAACGAAGAACCCGAATCCCAGGAATCGATTGCGGATTGTACGTCACTGGACATAAACATGTCTCAGTGCACAGAGCGAGACACAGAGAGCCCGTAAATAACTGTTAAAAAATTGATTGTACGAATGGAGTCCCTCAAAATAACACAGCACCTCACTAAGAACGAGTGAGCAACTTTCCAGTTGTAGGGGATCACATAAGTTATATCTCAAATATTCAGCTCTTGGTTCACGCATGACCCAATCCTCAACGTTCATAAGACGGCCAAACGCATATGGTGAACCCCTAGCGTCTCTATACGAAATAAACCACAGCAAACGGTAAAAGATGAACTGAATTGTAAATAAGGGCTTTTCCAGGTAACTATGTGATTTGTAAAGACGTCGTTTATAAGGCTAGCCCTATAGGATGCGCGAATTTCTCAAGGACATTCAACACAAGAAAGTGACTTTTATCACTATGTTTACACGGAGACAACCTTCAGACTTGGTGAGTGCCTGAATTCACTTCAACACGCTATTAATCTGGAGAAGTTTTGGGGCGCTAATTCATGCCTTTCCCCACTTTTCTGAGGCTTTTAATTAGAGCCTCTTCGGTGGTCGCCTTGACGATTTACGAGACAAAACAAGCCGACAAATGAGAGCACGAGGAGCGTGGGAAGGCGCAAGGGAATCTCAATGCCGGATGGGGATTTGCTGGGCTGTATGTGAGAACACAGTTGCTCTCTTCAAATACCGCTTTCAATTCGGTTTCAAACTCGACTTTTTTTAGTTTCAACTGACAAATATTCATGAAAAATCAGCCAGCCATGGCACCTCGTGAGTCTTGCGGCGAAAAAGGTAACATATGTTTACACCTCCGGGATGTACCAGTGTTCCCTAATGTGATTTCCGTAGTTTTAGTTAAAGCTTCTGGGTGATAGACGTGATGACAGCTAACTACTGACTGGCAATTAGAAATTTAAGTCCAAAACCCTATCAAGACGTCATGGTTTTACGCATTACAGGCGTTTGTGATGCCGACCTTTTCTGTTTTAAGTGACTACATATTCGGCACAGTACTTGAACATGAAGCCATCCAGTGGTTTACGAAGCCTGCTCTCAAGGTTTCGGTGGTAATTTGCACAAAGTTCTTAGAATTCATCAAGATTCATGTTGAACTGCCTTGCCAGATTTTGTGCTAGAAGTACCAAAGTCAGTTAAGAGCAAAAGACAGAAACAAGCGGTAAATTTTGTTCCGCGTTTTTGATTTTTGTATAAAACGGATTTCTAATGTAGTTTTGGCAGTTCTCAGGAGGCAGTAAAAATCACCTTGGCGAGGCCAACTTGAACAGTTACTCGCTTGAGGCGGGAATTTAATCTCGGCTTCGATGGTCCCAGCTCTTTGGAGATTACTAGCTACTTGCAATAATAATCGCTATTTTCGTGCTGACAATGGCATAGGGAAGATTCGTTAATTGGCCCCTTAATAAACATGCCTTCTCACCAGCTGGGAATTCAAATCATACGCGGTTCGGGGGAATTATATACCACTGACAAGATAATTACAGCATTTAAGTCACCTATACCACAAAGCAGCCACAAGGGGCTGTAGGGGAGCATTGGTTAGGCACAAGGTTTGACCACATGAACAGTTTGGTGGTGGAGGGGAAGTTATCACCTTCTCACTGGTTAATCGCTCATCTAAGAAAAACGACTTTTGAAAAAAAAACTAGTCAAGGCAAGGGCGTGTACTGTCGACAACTCCGTTCTCGCTAACCAGAGTAGCTAAGCTGACCCCAATCAGCCCCATATTTTGTTAAAGGCTCCGGCATTGTGGTCTTAAACCCCACCGGGAAGGCCATGTTGTGTTGGACTGATTTAGCCACGACTAAGAAGACCAGAGACCCAGTGGTGCGTGTTCTTGGGTGTCGCGTCACTGTGCATAAAAGTCGCGCATGACTAATGATGTTGATGGGCGTGAATCAGCACAGCACTTCAACAGCAGCCCCAGTGATTTTGTAGACCACATGTTCTTACAAGCCAGCAGGAAGGCCCATGGATTAGCCACGAAGGTTCATTGTTCCCCTCCGGTGCCACCTGTCCCACCACAATCCAATCTGGTATCGATTTCGCGATGACCGCATGAATTTTATCCACTAATGAGGTGGAATTAGCAGGCCAACTGTGGCTAAATTCACCTCTCGTGCGTGCATAGATCACTCCATAATCACGGGACTCAAGTCCGCCCATGGCCAGGCGTTGTGACCACGACAAACTGCACACGCAGCTTGCATGGGCATTAATTATGCGTCGGAGAGGTGGGTCATCGTCACATCCGCTGAACAATGAGCACGTGTGATGCTCTGTGCGTCATAGCTTTTGGGGCTTTCCAACCATGGCGGTACTTTTAACGGACTTACAGGCACAAGCACATGCCCGCGCGTTCACAGTAAAGGTCACCCCAAAACTAGAAATTTGAAAACGTTTTTTTCAATCGGGCTTTAGTGGAAAGAACCAAAAAATTAATGGGTAGGAAAGCATGACGTGTGAGAATCCGAAAGGCAGGTGACATTTCGTATTGAGGCATAAGAATGTTTAACCAGGGCGAAATTAGAGTGCCCTGACTAGATATGCCCCCGCTTGGAGATGTAGGATGGAACAATGCCATGACAAGAATGCGAGAAACCAGCTGGAGGCAAGAATGCCACATCACATGGTGATAAGTGAGATTAATTATTGAAAAGTATTATGCTGTGGTTCGGTCTGTGGTTTGAGACCATCGGCACAATTAGACATCAATAAGTTCGTTTTAATTTCACAACCTTACTGCGTTCCCTAACCGGTTCGCATTAAACTCAAGCGGTTGACAAATGCCACGACATTTTGAATAAGACCCGTCTACGTACATCCATTGACTCACAAAGACTCCGTGGCAGCTCACCTATGACTGCGACAATGGCTAGCCTGACACAAACTTGTAGGACATGAATATATTACGTACCATTAAATTTCAAGTGTATTTCATATCTTCGGTTTAACAATCACACCATCACACCCCCATGCATAATTAGGAAGTTTTTGTGCTGAATCTGATTTTTTGACATCCCATTTAACTTGCTTCAGCAATGCGTAAGTAGAAATCGTGCCATATTAGAACTTGCATTCATTCGCGTCTTACGCCTTAAACCAATTACCAGCGTTTAGATGTCCATGTGTCTCTCTAAACGCCACTGACTACGTGTTGTGCAAATTCGACTCGTCTTCACGATCAAAACACGCTTTGGTCGGAATAACACAAGACGTAAACACGGTCGGTCTAACGCGGAGACGTGCAGTGCTTGGCATGGGGCGTTGTCCGGTTATTAAGTGTCGTCCTTGAATGGGGACACCGTTTAGTTATTTGGAGGGCATGTGAGTGACACGGCGTGCGCACTCAAGTCGTCGGCAGCCCCCTTGGTGCTGGGCAGGAGCAGGTGGTCGCCAAATCGTTTTTAAAACATTGTGACTGAAGTTCGATGTCGTCCATCAGTTTCCTCCATTATTGGTTGACCTGCTGATATCTCTGACGGGTATGAACAAACTGTCTTCTTAAATACAAACTCAACATCACCTCCGTACTCCTAGGACTATTTAAAAAAAACTTACGTCTCCTATTTGCTCAGATTTAATTAACCATCTAACGTAGCTGGTAAATAATTAACTCCAAAACAAGCAGATTAGCTAATTAAACTCCAAACTTTAATCTGGAACGCCACGTCGGGTGATACATGAAGCTTCAAGGGAGTCACTAGCGGCAATTTTCCGGTGCATCCCGTCCACTCTCGCTTCCCAACCCGCGCTAACAAGATCGCATCTTCGCGATAACACCTGACCAGGTTAGGCGGAGGTGGGGAGTGCAGGATTCGAGAACTCTTCT